CCCCCCCCCCCCCCTTGTAATGAGATCTGCTTATGTCTTTTCTGTGTTCATTCTGCTTAGTTCTTGTGTGGTTTGTTTTCCTGTGCGTTATACAGGGATAGGGCGTGTCACCTTCCCCCCAGAGATGTGGGGAGTACCCCACTATTACGTGCCCTGCTGTTAGTAACAGAATCTAAGTGAGTGTTTAGGTAGTGGTAAGTGAAGGTTGGGGGGAAGGAGGGGAGTGAGACCCTTGTTTGAAGCAGCCTGTTTAAAAGGTTTTCATGCAGCAAGCGTGGTTGCTTTTTAATTGGTTATTATTTACCAGCTGTAACTTTAATGTGGAAGATAATGTTACAATTGCAAACTCACTGTTGTGTTTAAAAAAATCTCTCCCTAGTGGCTGAAAGTACTGTTCATTTCATAACCCAAATAGTCATGATTTCCTCCTTTCATCACGTTTTCTCCTGCATTTTTGCTAATCACCCACACATATTCTGACAGACTTGCTGCAAATTCTTCCTTCACAAATATTTTCTACTTACCTGTGTTTCCCACCTCCTACCCTATGCATGCAAGTCAGATTTCCTTTGACACACATCTGATCCTTGTGCTCTCTGAAACATTGTCATCACCCAGGCAAATGCTGCTGCCACCTAATCAGCCTCTCAGTTGCTGGATTTGGAGTTAGCCTGAGTTAGGAATTGGGAAAGATTTCTGTTAGCCACAAAACAGGGCAGAACAGGTTTGGGCATATTCAAGATGATTGTAAGATGAATGTCTAACCACCAGTTGTACCATTCTGCAAGCCCAGGATGTCAGTACTACTGGTAGCTCTTATTGTGGACAGTCTTCCAAGTTGGGGAGGGTTAAGATGAAGCTGCTCAGAGGTGTGAGTCTTCATAAAGGTTGGGTTCAGCTGATTTTAATTTAGACTCATTTTCTATTCTTTTAGTCAGAAGGGAAAAAAAAAAGCTATTTTCTGTAAGCATTGACTGCTGTTGAAAAAAAAATTTGACTTCATTTGTTATGCAGGAGTAGTGCTGAGCCACTCGAAGGTTTGATGGCACATTCAGGGTGATTAGCAGCAAGTGGCCTCCAAAGAGATGTCCTGCTCCTCCTCCCTTCCCCTGCCTTTTTCGTCCCACCGATGCCTTGTGCTGACCTGGCACTTGTCTTGCTTTAGTGAACTGAACAGACAGAAGAGTGACATTAGAAGTGGGTGTTTCGCTTGTTGATGGAGGCTGTGCTGAAGTGATGTTTTACAGACCAGCATGCAGGAGTCCTCCTGAATGCACAGAACAGGGTTTGTCCAGCTTGATCTGTACAGAGTTAACTATAACAGTGTCGCTGGAGAGCTGGCAGGCTTGTGTGGAGTCGATGCAGTTTCTCTGTGACAGCATAAGCCTAATGCCAGTCCACTGTGTTGTGTTACCTGAGAAGTGGTGCTGTCGGGGAGCATGGCACTTCTGTCAGAATGAGGAGAAGAAAAAGGAGAAGCTTGGTATGCTTTCCTTCTAAGGATAAAAAGTGGAATCATCATCCATTCGAGTTACTGGTAACAAAGTGCACAAGCCTGCCTCAGCAAGCATAGGTAAAATAAGCAGCAGTCCTGATACAGGGTGGTGTTTTGATTTGGCTTGTAGATTGAAGTATGGTCAGGTAACATTTCCTCGGAAGACTGAAAAGAACTCCCTGAAGATAGCTCTCCATATTATGGAGGGTGTTTGGACTCCTTGTGACCTCTCTGGAAGCAGCATGTACAGAAGGAGCTGGGAGGGAAGGAAGTGCTGGTGGAGGTTGCACTTTCAGGGATTTTTAGGCACCAAGACAAAAGGGACTCTATGTGCACTGGAGGATGGTTCCTCTGGGCCAGATCCCAGCAGGCAGAGAAGTGTGAGAGTTCATTATAAACAGGGCAGTTTGGAAAAGCAGTGAGTAGCTGAAGATAGCTGCTGGCAGATGGAGACTGGGGCAAGAGAAGGGAAGCAGTAAGAAGTGCAAGATGTCTAATTCTGTTTATTGGCCAGAGTCCTTCCCTGCCCTCCCAGTGTGTAACAGACAATGGAACACTTGAGTAGAGATGATTAAAAAAACATATAAATGAGTATAGTAAGTCATACTTTTTTAATTTAAAAAACCCCACACTAGTGTCTAGAGATCAGTGCTGAAAACAGGGAGTGTTGAGGGAGAGCAAGAGCAGAGGGTGAAGTGACAGGCCCTGCTCTGCTACCTTCCTTAGTGGGAGTTTGCTGACAGCCTTGGATGCTGGACACTTGCCCTGGTTGTTTGCCCACTAAACCAGTCTCTGAGCATGTGGTAGGCAGAGAAGTCACACATGGACAGGACAGCACTTTTGCATGAGGGGCACGCCTGTTCCTGGTGAGGCTGACTCAAGCTAGGCAAAGAAGGTTCAGGCAGTAGTCCTCCCTCCCCTAGTTAATTCTTTCAATTGGGGAACAGAAGCACAGAGATCAAAGGCCTTTTTTTTTTTAAGTAGGTAGGCTAAGAATGGGGAATTAACACAGTCAAGACACCTGCAAAGTGCCTGTTAAGTATCATTAAAATCCCTGTAAAGATATGTAGGGGTCTTGTCCCTAGGGTCATAATAAAGTTTGTAGCAAACCTAAAAAACTGATGCCATGTTGGATTTGATAACCCTGGGTACATTCCTGCTTCAGTGTAAGCACCTCAAAAGCAGGTTCAATGGCACAACCCCACACACTTTATTGGGTGCAGGGAGGCCGTATGCGCCTGTGGTTGGGTAACAGCCTGGGTAGGAATTTCTTCGTTCACTGAGGTCAGCTTTAAGCTGAATCCACTGATGGCAGGCACCTGAATTGGAACAAATTGGACCCTCTCAAGCCAGGTCCTTCCTTCAGTAGGAGTACCACTGCTGGAGAGGACGCACATATGGTTGTGATGAGTGAACTATTTCATGAGACTACAGAGTGGTAATGGAAAGGCCAAAGGCACAAAGCAGATTTGGAATTGGAGCACTATGTTTCCAGCCCTTGACGTCAGTTGTCTGGTTTGTTTCAGTGCAAATATTTTAGTAAATTTTTTTTTTCTTCCTGTCCTTCAGCTCTTGGGGAGATTTCTTACTGGATGCAATTCCTGGCCTTGTGTTTGATACAGCAAAAGAAGATGTGGCACTGCGGACAAGTATACCAAGGCAACTGCTTATGGTAAGCAGGTGGGACTGAGGGAATAATAGTGCACTGAGGCAAGCGTATATTTTGTTGTTCCGCTCTGAAAGCTCAGTGCAATGGCACTATCTTATCTAGAGGCACAGCCACTTCTTTTGAAGCCTTCAGGATGGCTGCTCTGAGGTTTGCTCCATCTGAAGCATTGCCTAGTTCATTGCACTGCCTGTCTTTCATATCAGTGTCCTTGTGTTGCTTGTTTTCTTCTAAAAGTAATGGTGTTTGTGTTGGAGCTGTCACATGGGCATAGTTACTGTCAGGCTAAGCTTGTGAACTTTTAAAAGTTAGCAGAGCTGTAAATTGTTCTGGGACCTCTTTATGGCAGTCAGTTGTGCAGCTGAGCAGCTCGTCAGCATGCAGAAGGAACAAGTCTCTCTGTCTGCTACACTTGCAAGTCTTTCAGCATTGCAGTTAGCCCCAGAGTGAGGGAGAATGAATGTCTGCTTTGATGTGTGAATGTGAACAGTTTGTGGGAAATGTATAAAAAACCCAAAGTTTGCCATTTTGGGAGTAAACGTTACCCTTTGCAAAGATAAAAGGAGTGTCCAGATTTTCACTGCATTACTGCACCTCTTTCTCTTTAGGCTAGTCCATTTAGTTTGAATTCATGTGAGAGTAACTGTGTGAATATTTAGCAGGTAGATATAGCTGACTCGACCAAAAAACTAAGTCACCTTTTGAGAAGGCTCGCAGACCGCCTGGAAAACACGAGCAAACTGAGATCATCTGACATGAAGAAAGATTTCATTATGAACCGGTTGCCACCTTGCTTGGGATGTGACGCTGATCCTTTGACTCCAGGTAGATTTTGAAGTTGCTGAAACTGGGTGATATGATGGTAGAGCTGTTGCTAACGCTGCCTCTTCCAACTTTGGTATTTTATGGCAGGCAAAGAGTATAGTCTAGCTTCATGTCGGGCAAAACTCTATCTGTGCATTTGTGCACCTCATTTAATTTCCTGTCTGGCAGAAGAGATGACCGGTCTTTCTTAGAGTGACATAAAGGTCATCCTCGGCTGAAATTGGCAATTTTAATGAAGTGTACTGAGAATGTTTAACTGGTAGAATTTGTTTTTATGCTCTAGCTTGCTGTTACAACTATTCATAGGCTGTAAAGGTGAGAGAATTAAAGACTCTCTTCCTCCATCCTGAGTTTGAGAACATGTGGGTGTTGAAATGTGGGTTGACAAAAAATCTAGCCACAAGAGTGGGTAGAGCACACGGGCTCAATTTGCACCGTTTGTCTGGTGTCCTTCCTTTCTAATGGAGAATTTTTTTTTCTTAGGTGGGAAATTGCCAAAAATAGATAGCAAAATCAGACTGCAGTTTAGAGATCATGCTATCATTACAGTGGAACCAGATCAAGAGAATTCTGTAAGTATAATGAAGCCACCCTCTTACACTTGGGGTGGGAGGGTGGGGCAGGGGG